GAATATGGAAGAAGGTCGCGTGCTAAGTTTGGAGCGTGGAGTGTAGAGTCTGGAGTATGAAGTATATGGGGTGTCAAATGTGAAGTGTCAAGTGTAAAGTGTGGAGGGTGGAGCGTAGAGTGTAAAGTGTGGAGTGTAGAGTGTAAAGTGCAGAGTGTAAAGTGTAGAGTGTGGAGTGTGAAGTGTTACGTGTAGAGTGTGGAGTGTGCCTGCCACGAAAACTGCAACGCATCGTCTGAAAACGTCGCAAAAGTATTGCGCCTGCCACACAAAACGACTTTCCACACGTTACAAAACACGTCTGAATGTCACGAAAAGCCACGTCTGCCACACGAAACGCAGCCACGCAACGCTGGAAACATCCAAAAGTGACCCCTTTGGCAGAACTTACGATAGGCACGGCCATGCGGCCCACACGGGAACGGTTGCGAACGGTTGCGAACGGTTGCGAACGGTTGCGGACATAAACGCGGCGTCGAGCGAACACACCCGCAACCCCCAGACCGCCAGAGTGAAACGGGAACCCTTGCTACGCATTCGGGAAAAAAATGACTCAAAGCGCCACACACTGACCAAGGCCTTCAGAAGATTAGATTTTGAAACCTTGAGAATTTGCAAATCCAGCTTGTTCACCAGATCAACTCGGAATGTCATTTGAGAAGGAAGATCAACATGCATTGAAGTACCTTGTCGAGTCAAATCTGCGTCTTGGGAAGAATCTCATGTCAACAACGGTGCGTTGGGACTGCTACTGCCGACATGTGTCATTAAGCTCATCGCTTATATATAGGAGCATCTATGCAACCTAGCCTTTACAGGGGAAATCATCTCAAGATCTTGATTTGACATTGTCGAAACAAGAAACTGTCCTAACCAGCTCAAATCAGTATCGATCGTGGGCATCTAACACGTGCGCCACCCGCTGCAGCCTCTGGTTTCTGTCTTTGCTTGTCCTGTGCCAAGCTTGAACTAGGCCGTTCCGTTTCATGGATTTCTATCTGCCATGTTAGGTTGAACGCGCTCCGAGTAACATGGAAGGACGCTAAACTCGCAAAAATCACATCATATTACTAACAAAGAACCAGTGAGTATATTGTTGGATCCAGACAATGAAGGGATCAACTTCGTGAAAGCGCAGACACACTAATGTTGCGGGCATGGCAGCATAGCGGTAGAAATTTGTCCAACGATCTCAAACCAACATCAGTTGTGCAAATCTGTGGTGCCCATTCGAGGCAGCCTTCAGCTGCGATCCTTGCTCCGGCTCTGCAGCCTGCGATGTCTCGAAGAGTGGTACTTTCGTGAAAAATTGTCTGGGGCTAATGGCTTGCAACTCAATCAGCACAGGCGCATGGCAACAATAACATAAGCCAAGTGCACAGTTAAATCAAAACAACCATGGGTAGTTTCTGTGCCCGAAAATGTGGATGCTGTGGACATGGATGGACATGGCCACGTTGCGGAAACAATCAAGTGTAATTTTGTTTTGCCCAATCAGGGCTACCTCCGGCAGCGATCCTTGCTCCAGCTCTGCGGCCTGCGTTATAAAGAAAAACCCGATTTCAATGTGGATCACTGCTTTTAATAGTCAGTAGTTACACTTCTGTTTCTACGCCATAGGTCTATACACATGCACCTTAACATCGACGCATATTCAAGAAATGGAAGGCTTCACATGACGCATGGCCACCTGCAGTCCCTCTAATGTTCGGGTGACATCCTTTAAACTTTCCGAATGGCAAACACCCCTAGAACAAAACGTTGCCGACCAGGAAAGTGTGCTATTTTGCTGAAACCGAAAACGCATAAATTCGAAATCCACAACCTTGAAAACGAGGAAGACTCAGGCTCCATTAATACATCCTTAACCGCAGGAGGTTATGTCCCCTAACCAGGCCTGGGAGACCCTAGAATATAAGATAGAATCAGAAGGCCTAGGTCTAGATTCCACAAGAAGTGCTTCAAAGAAGATCGGGACGAGAATGTGCATTTGCCATTAGCTTACTAATGACCAACATGTTTTGCATTTAAAAACCTTATTATGTGATCATGAACTCTTGCGACATGGGCCAATGTAGAAAGGTATACTTTGGTTCTTCAAAGCAACATATGACCAGCTGGATCGCAAGCGTTGTTCTTTTTGGTAAGATCCCGACCCTTAGGCAGAATGCCATGACTGGCGGTCCCGCCTTGCGCTTCTGCTTTGCTTTCCTGCAAGCGACGGCAAGAGCATGGATCCCCCAAAAGCCAATATATAAGTACACACACATCCCCATCACTAGGCTACGCACAGCCCGACACGCCAGAGTCAGCTTGGACGCAGCACGGCTGCACGCAGACATCCAGGCAACGCGCGGGACGTTCCCACACGCAGCACTGGGCCACGCACGGCCGGCCACGCCAAAGCCAGCTTCGACGCAGCATGGCCGCGTGCAGACATCGGGTCACACACACACATCCCCACATCACAATAGGCCGCACACGGCCCGACGCGCCAGAG